TGTGGAGAAAGAGGAACATTCTTTCCTTGTTGGTGGGATTGCAAGCTGATACATCCACTCTGGAAATCAGTGTGGCAGTTCCTCAGAAAAATGGACATAGCATTACCTGAGAACACAGCTATACCACTCCTGGGTATATACCCAAAAGATTCTCCCACATATAACAGGGACGCATGCTCCACTATGTTCATAGCAGCCTTATTTGTAATAGCCAGAAGCTGGAAAGAAAACAGATGTCCTTCAACAAAGGAATGGATACAGAAAATGTGGTACATTTACATAATGGAATAGTACTCAGCCATTTAAAACACTGACTTCATGAAATTCTTAGGCAAATAGATGGAACTAGAAAATATCATCTTGAATGAGGCATCCAAATCACAAAAGAACACATATGGTATGCACTCATTGATAAGTGGATATTAGCCCAAAATCTCACAATAGCCAACTCATAACTCACAGACAAACCACATGAAGTCTAAGAAAAAGAAAGACCAAAGTGTGGGTGCTTCGGTCCTTCTTAGAAGGAGTAAAAGAATACTCACAGGAGCAAATATGAGACAATGTGTGGGGCAGAAACTGGAGTAGAGACCATTCAGAGACTACCCCACTGGACATCCTTTCCAGATGCAATCACCATATTCAAACACTGTTGTGGATGTCTGGAAGTACATGCTGACAGGAGCCTGAAATACTTGTCTCCTGAGAGGCACTGCCAGATCCTGACATATACAGAGGTGGATGCTCACAGCTAACCATCAAACTGATCAAAGGGTTCCCAGTGAAGGAGTTAGAGAGAATACTGAAGGAGTTGAAGGGGCTTGTGGCCCCATGAGGAGAGTGACAATACCAACCAATAAGAGCTCCCTGGGTCTAAACAGCTAGCCTGGGAACACACACGAAGGGACCCATTTCTCTAGCTCTATTTGTAGAGGAGGGTGGACTTGTCAGGCATCAGTGGGAGAGGAGGGCCTTGGTCTCTTGAAGGATGGATGCCCCAGAGAGTGGCAGTCCATTGCATGAGGAGGTGGGAGTGGATGGTTGGGTGAGGGCACATTCTCATAGAAATTAGAAGAAGGAGGATGGGTTTCTTAGGGCAGTGGAATGGGAAAAGGGGGATAACATCTGAAATTTAGATAAAGTACCCAATAATTTAAAAAAGAAGGAGGAGGAGGAGGAGGAGGAGGAGGAGGAGGAGGAGGAGGAAAGTAAAACAAACAAACAAAATATGAAACTGGCTATTGCAGTCAAGTATTTGACATATTTTAGCAGCAATTTTGCATTACCCATATTACAGGGATTCCTTATAATTGTCAAGGACAAGAGACTGTGGAACGGGCCCATGGAACTTTAAAATAATATCTTCATAAAATAAAAAGGGGGGAGATATATTCCTGTATACCACAAATTTATTTAAATCATGTTCTTTTTATTGTTTGTTTTAATTTTTTTTGAAAAAAATTGGATGTCAAGGAACTTTCTGCTGAGTGTCTATGGTGCTCTAGAACTAGGCATATTTACCCATAGGTGAAAAGGAAGGATCCACTCACTGGCTGGCATAAGGTATGATCCCAATCAGGTATTAAATATGCAGAAGAGGGCATGTTTGTGTTTTTTCTGCAGGATGCTGAAGGAGTATGGTGGCCACCAGAGCAAAGGGTGACACAGGCTGATGTCAAGACAAAGAATGATACTGACCTGTGAGCTTGCTGACTGCCCTGACAATGGTGACTGGAAAGTTGTATTGGACATATGTTCCCGACCCATCATTGCTTACCTATAGCCCTGATGGGACAAGCTGCCTTGCCTCAAGTTCTTAGACCTTGTGAAACAGAGAATCAAAAAGAGAAGTTATAATGACTCTTGTATTGTTATTAAAGGTGACCAGTTATTTAGACTCAATCATGGACTGGTCTAGAAATCAATCCAATATTGGAAATAACAGTCTTCATTTGGATGTCTGGTTCTGGACATTTTCAGAGACATATTTGGAAATTAGCTGCAGTTCTCTATGATGTTATGTTAGCAAAAGATAAAGTTGGGGCAGAGTCTGGATTTCAAACAGGTGTTAGCACATGTGTTAATACTCTTAATTGTCAAGTTAAAAATACTTTTGTTTCTTCTACAGTATTTAATGTAAGTTGCATTGATTGTACACCTTCTAAATGTGCTTGTGTTTTCAAATCTGGCATGTCAGTTGTGGAGGAATATCAACCAGCTTTGTTGTAGTGCTCTGAGTATCACAAATCTTGGTATTCAAAATATAGCTTGGAAGTACTGGAAGAAATAAGTACATTATTCCTGCTATAACAGGTTGAATTACATTAATTGCTAGTACCACTGCTTCTGCAATTGCTGTGACACAAGAAGTTAAGACAGCTACTCTTGTTAATCATTTAGCAAAAAATGTTACTGATGTGTTGAATATACAAAAGGATTTAGATAGGCATTTGGAAGAACAGATTGATGTTCTTTATCTTATTCAAAATATTGAAGGAAGTTCAGAATTTAAGGGTAGGGAGCCATCTCAAGTGTCATGCCATATACCATTGGATTCATGTGAGTTCTAAAATTTACAGTGGTAGTCATTATAATTAGGAAGAAGTTTAAAGACACTTGCAGTGTACTTAGCATAATTTTAACACCTCTCTGGATGTTTTAAGGATACATAGGGAGCTTATGAATTTCAAGAATGCTTTCTGCTGAGCGTTAATTCAGTAGATACTGCTGATAAAATTATCCATGGCCTTATGTCAATATTTCTATTTTGGTCAAGCTTCAAGAATGGCATATATAGCTTGATCTTGCTAGCCATTTTTTGTCCTGGGAGTACTTTTATTTCTGCCCATCATATTAAAGCTTTTCTTTAACAACATCACATGTTGGCAGCCAATGTACATGACTTGAACCTGAAAATAGACCCCCAGACAAAGTTATTAAATTAACAAGCTGACAAGCCAAGGATGGGTTAGCTTCTGCACAGAGCCTTACCAACCTAAGACAGAAATGCATGCTTTGGATAATGCATATTCCATGATGAGTAAGGAAGGCATTCTTGTCAGAATTATGTAAGACATGCTCAGTCTTGTTTATGAAATAAAAAGGGGGGAGAGACAGAGAGCCTTTGTGGCTGTTTGGCAAAAATCTGACATGACCCAAGAACGAGGAATTGGGCTGCTTAGCAGGAATATGACATTGACCAAGGACAAGGAAGTAGGCTTCAGGCAGGAATATGACATTAGGCTAAAACAAAGAAGTAATTTCAGGTAGAAATCTAAATCTTAGGCTAGAAAAAAGAAGTAATCTCAGGCAGGAATCTAAATATTAGGCTAAAATAAAGAAGTAATTTCAGACAGGATTTAAAATTTTAGGCTAGAACAAGGACCTAGGCTTCAGACATGAAAAATGACTTTGGGCTAGGCTCAGATACTTTGGTCATCCTGATAAGCCCTTAGAAACAGTGATCATGGGAGTATTCATGTAATTTGGTTTAATGCCTTGCTTGTTCTTTGACTATTTGTATTTATTTTCTTACTTGTTCCTTGACTATTGCATCTATTGTATTGCTAGATCCTCAACCTAGAATTGACCTTAATGGATGCATGTAATTAAAATGGTATAAAAGCAAAAATGAGGAGGGGGGATAGGATAGGGGGTTCTAGGGAAGTGAAATGGGAAAAGGGGATGACACTTGTATTGTAAATAAATAAAATAACCCAGTGAAAAAATAAAATTTAAAAAATAAGATCCAAAGGACTTCCAGAAGCAATTCTGTCTGTGCGTCCATATAATACTTAGTCTTTATATTTACTAGGAAAAATTATCAGCTGAAACGCTCAACCTATAATTATAAGAAAGTATGACCAATAAAAAAGGAGAAAACTATTAAAATATCCATTTGCATGCTAATACTCTCAGACATTTGTCTGAAAAATCTGTTAGAGCTCCTAGTTCTCTCATTGATTGCAGAAGTCAATTACATCACTCAAGAAATAGTTTAAACTAACCAGATGCATCCAAAGACACAGACTCACACACAAATTCACAGAACTAAAAAGACACCAACTGCTTTAACAATTAGCTCTGTAAATACTGTGAAATATGGTTAACTTTGTGATAGATGGGAACCATCTTACCCAAGTGCCTTTTATAATTTCTGTGTCTTACAGTCAGAAAATAGTTGTGAAAGAGGATACAGAAATACCACTGTCTGCATTTTTTCCTAAAGTCAAGGAAGTAAGAGTAGTATTTATCTTCTACTAAGCAGCAACTGAACTGTAGAGTCTACCAGCTGATGGATATTTAAGTTTTCCACTCTGAAAAAGATGAAAAATCATATCAGACAGGAAGCATATCCTTCAGATTTGTGACAGGCATCGAACAGGAACACTAGTCAGCCTTTATTTTCAGTGTCACTAAGCGTGCTCAGTGACAGAGGGTACAACTCTTCCTTCTTATTGAAGTGACACGTATTGTATTATGCCTTCATCTACACATCACCGAGCAGAAAAGTTCCCAAGCAATAAAACTGTCTGCTCTTGGTTAAGCATGAGGCTGTTTGAAGGAGATAAACTATCAGTACTGGGGAGAGAGAAAGGTGGTGACGGCCATTATGACCATGATTCTGATGAATAACGACAGACTAAGGATTTCTTGAGGAAGAAGAAAGGAAACGTTGTCTCAATTTCTCCTCATTTTTAAAAGCTTTATTTAGTAGTCGTGTGGTTTCATTCTCAGCTTAATAATATGGCTTGGGAGCACATAGGGATGAGAAGAAACTGCTAGAGAAGAAAGAGTTTTAAAAGAAAAAACTGCAAGCACTTGTCAAAGGAGCCCACCCAAAGCTCACTATGAGTTCCATTTTCCCTTTGCCTTCTTCCCGGCATCAGCCAAATAAACAAAAGCATTGAAAGTGCAACACTACAAAACTCCTCAGAATAAATTATATAAAAAAAAAAGTGTCAAAAGATGGTAAGTAAACTTTGGGATTCAAGATTTACCTGCTCTGATCCCAGTTGGCAGCAAAAAGGACTAGAATCTTCCTCCCATAATGGTCCAGATTTGCCAGGCCCCCAGGAAAGCCATCCTTCAGTGCCTGCTTGATTCCAGGGTCAGTGGCCTTGAAGCTTTTGAACATATCCAGGTTCTGCTGCCGGTACTCAAAGTATTGAGCCAAGAGGCGGAAAGCCTCAAAGTGATGAAATTTCCTGGCCCGCAAGAAGCGTAAGATGAAAGCATCATCTGTGCGCAGAAAGCCAATGTCCGGCCTAGTGATGACCATGTCTCTTACTTCTTGGATGTCCTGGTGCAGAGTGTCTGGGTTCTCATTGAGTTCCAGGCGAGCTTTCTCCAAGGTCTCAGGAGAGAGACCAGCTTGCAAATGAGTCATTGTCCCCTTGTAACCAAGCTGTCCACTTTGACTCTCTTTGTGTGTCCAACAATATACCTGGCACTTGTCACCTCCACACCACACTCTGGCCTCCGGTTCTCCTCACTGCTGTCTGCTTCCTTTCCTGTACAGGAAATGGTTCCTCTTGTGTTTTAAGTCAAGTACCCTGTTGCTACTGCTTTTCCCCACAGCTTTTCTGGAGAGTGTCTAAACTTCTTGCCCCAGCACCCCTTAAAAAACAATGCCTCTCATTACAAGTGAGCCTCTGGACAGGCCTTGCAAGCCTGCCTCCTGTCCTTTACCACTCTGAATTTAAAAAAAAAAGAAAGAAAGAAAGAAAGAAAGAAAGAAAAAAGAAAAGGAAAGAAATCCTAATTCCAACTAGCATGGGTGCTTAGAGTCTTGGTTCTGTCTTCTCTTGTCTTGCAAGATGTAAAGAAAACAACCCCCATGGACATCTCAGCCCCAGCACTGTGAGTCTGCTTCGGTCCCTGCTGAAGGATGTGCCTGCCACAGATAAAGATGAGAATTCTGATTAATAATAAGGTGGTTCTTCAGCTCTGAGATCCAAAGCAGGGAGGGAGTGTATTTGGCAGAAAGCGAGAGAAAGAGGAAGGGAAAGAAGCTCATTTCTCTCTGCTTATTCAAAGATGCTATTTTTTATAGGATGTCGTTGTGTGATTTCTACTTTAGGTTATTAATATCTAATTAGGGGAGACTGCAGATAGTGCACCTCTCCCACACAGCGTGACCTCATAAGGCTCCAGCTGGGTTTGGGGTACCGTTGACTGGGGCGTGGGCTCACACTCATCCCCGCCCCCAACTTCTGCCTAGTCTCTCCCTTTATTTCAGGGGACTTGGCAACGAAGTGGAGGATAATGCTAAGGACAGGAAGAAACCTCTTTGGGAGCAAAGATGTCAAAACCAGGGTGGGTGTAGGGAGTTGTAGAGCACGAAATAAAAATGTCTCTATCTTTCCTATAGCCCCCCAAAGCCAGAAAGAAAGAGCAGTCAGTTCCTACCAGCAAATCGGGAGACAGAGACGCTAAGCAATGCGGCACTCCCCGGCATCCATCAGCCCTGGCTTCCGCGGAGGTGGTGGCGGGGGTGGGGGCGACAGCAGCGTCAACTTCTCTCAGAGGGATGGAGCAAGCGAAGAGAGATGGTGGCTGAGACTCTCCTGAGGATTCATCGGGGAGCAGCCTCAGCCACCTCATCCAAGGACAGCCCGCCTCTGTCAGCAAAAGGGTGGGGACTGGCAGAGCTAGAACCTCTGCTGCCCCAGGTCCTCGCCCGGCCCAGCCATTTTCGCCTTCGAGAGGGGAAGAAGGGAGGGGATGGAAACCCCTGGACGAACCAGGCCACGAGGGCTGCAGCCGCCTTTACCTTTGTGCGCCCAAGAGGTGGTACGCGTGGCCCGCACAGGCTGTTCCAGTGCACCCAGAGCCGCTGGGTCCCGCGCGCCCCTGCAGCTGCCGCAGCTACTCCTGAGCCGGCTGCTGCTAAAAGAGGATCCGGCTCAGCCCAACTCTTGATTATCCCAGAAGAGAGCTCCTAGCGACGACGTAAGCGTTGTAAGCGCTCGCGCACGCACTCCGCTTCTCTCTCTGCCTCTTAGGGGTATGACTGCAATTTGGGAGGTATTCAAATATCCCGAGCCCCAAGTTCAGCCAGCTCTATGTCCCCAGGTCCCAGCCAGGACCGGCTCCAATTGGTCTGGAGGGACAGCTGTGGCCTCATAGCATCCCCACGCCCCTCGCCCACCCTTTGTGTGCATGACCCGGGAGTGTGGGATAGAGTAGCCCTTGCTTTTGCTCCTTAATTGAGGATGAATAAACCTTTTCTGGTTCCTGTAGATAATTTTGATGGACAAGGGGGGTATGAAAACGTGTATTTTCTGCTTTCTTTGTACGCAGAGATTATTTAATTTTAAGAAAGCCCACAGAGGTTCCAAGGTAACTCTCCTGGGGAAACTTACATGGATTTGTTTTCAGCTGTAAACTCTCCCTGCTATCGTCCTCCATTGAAGACGATAAAAATGACCACCAGGGCAAAAATCATCAATACCAACAAGAGTAACAAAATTATCATAGGACAGGGGGTTGGGCAGGGGAAGAGGGAACTTGTCTCAGCATAAAGTGTATTTCCAGTTGCTTCTTGAGACATGTATCTTTATACTGGAATCATTATAAATTAAAAGAACCCTTGAAAAATATGTTTTCAATTTTCAAAGCACAATGAGCATTACTCAAACCATAAGAACTGGTCCTGAGTTTAGGTTATCCCAGTGCCGCAACTCTTTACTGAACTCCAATGTAGGTCAGTGGTCTACACAAGTTGCCATACTTTAAAGACTTTCAAGTTATACTTCACTATTTTTGTTTTCTTGAGTATGGTATTGACAAAAAGAAAAGAGTGTGAAATGACATACTACATCATTTGTCAGATAAATTATTGTGAAATAATTTAGGAACCAGAAAAGGGGAGTAAGTCATATACATATTGGTTAAAGTTTAAACACAAGAGATGAAAAATTAGTCATATAAATAGATATGTGTGAGGTTATACATATATCTGGTGTGTGTATGTGTCTGTGGTATATAATTTACATATACACTGTACATCCCTTGGGAACTGTGGAGAACTGATTCCCAGGTCTTATGAATGACAAACTCTGCAAAGGTTTACATATATAGAATGCTACTGAATTTGTATATATTCTACACACATCTTCTGTGTGCTTTAAATAGTCTCTATATTACTTATGCTAATTAATTCAATGTAAATACTGTGTAAATAGTTGTCATGCTGCATTCTTTAGGGAATAACGATGAAGACGAAGGTCTATATGTGTTTAGTAAAGACAGAAATTATTTGTGCAAGTATTTTAGTTCTCAATTTGTTGATTCCACAAATACAGAACCCATAAATATGAATCTTTATTCTACATAAATTTACTTTAGCCAATATCTACTAGTTGGAAGAAATTCCTTTCTCACAATAACTTATAAACAAGTTTTAACTATCACCAATACTGAAAGTGAATTTTCTACAATTATCTTGTGTTTCTACATGTCTTACAAAAAAGATACTAAGTGCTTGTTATCTAGACTTTTTTTCCAGACTAGCAGTAACCTTGAAAGGACTTTGAAAGATAGAGATAATGGTGTCTTCATCTAAAATCAAAGTAAGTTTATATCTAGGCATGGAGCTATAATATCTCCTTGTTGAGCCAAAGGCAAACACCAAGCTTATGTAAATTTACTATTCCAAAAGTACCCCATGTATGTACAAGTATCACCTGACTCTCTTTTCTTAACTCTATAGGAAAAAAGCTAAGAACCCAATGCTAAGAACCCATGGATATTCTTGCTTCATACTGTCTTCATAAACAAGAATGTTTGATCATATCTGCTACCAGAATTTCTGAAATTAGTTAACTTATTACCTTAAAATAATTAAAAGAAAGATGTCTCAGTGTATTTTAATAGAAACTGCTTAATATTATTGTCTGAAATGTAATTGTTTGACTGACATGATAGATAGATAGATAGATAGATAGATAGATAGATAGATAGACATATAGATGATAAATAGAGACAGACCAAGAAACAGATAGATTTTGTTGCTATTATTGTTGCTTGAAATATTGATGTTAGAACTAAAACCCTTGAACATACTAAAGAAGCACTCTACCTAACAATGAAACATATCGCAGGCCCTTTTCAGATTATATTTCTATTATATTCTTTGTTATTTAAAACAATTTTAAATTTACATGTATTTTGATAATATTCGTTCTCTTCTCCAAGTCTTTCCAGATCCTTCCACCACCCACTATTAAGTTTTTTCTCAAAAAAACAAAAATCCAATACAATAAAACCCTCCCCAAAGCAAGAAAACAAAACCATACCCCAAAAAGGAAAAAGCAAAACAAAACAAAAACACTAAATTATAACCAAATAAAAGCACGCACAAAAAGCTTTGAAGTTGGTTATATGTTAGTCAATTATGCTTGAACACGAGGTCTGTCCAGGTGAGTGGTTGATATACTCAGTGTCACTCTGTTGGAGAAAACTGATTTCCCCTCTTCTAGCAGATTAAGTGACAATTCAGTTTTTAACCTTTACTCAGTGGCTAGCTTTTTCATTCATTCATCAATTTTCTTGAAAATATATCAAATTAAAATCCATTAAGAAAAGACAAAAGTTATCACATCAAAGTTGGTCAAGACAAAACAAAAACAAAAAACAAAAACATAAGGAGCTTAGAAGAAGGCACAAGAAGCAGAGACCCATTTGTTCCCACACTCAGGGACCCCATAAAAACACTAAACTGGAAACCATAATATATATGCAGAAGATCTGGTGCAGACCCTGTGCATGCAGCAATGGGGTCTTTCTCTCAGTTTGTGGAGAGTAACCTATATAGTCTTTGCAACAACCTGGGTTTTGTGGGAGTTCTCATAGAACCTCTTCAACCAAAAACTTAAATACATATAACCCCCACTCCATCCATCACTGACTTCACAGCTAATATCCACATATTAGCAAATACATACCATATTTGTATTTCTGAGTCTAGGATGCCTCATTTCAAGTTCCATCTATTTGCCTGAAAATTTCATGATGTCATTTTTTAATAGCTGAGTAATACTACATTGCATAAAGTTACCACATTTTCTTTATCCATTCTTCTCTTGAGAGATATCTAATTTGTTTCCAATTTCTGGCTATAATGAATAGAGAAGCAATAAATATGGTTGAGTATGTTTCTCTCTGGTAGGATGAAGAATCCTTTGGAACAAAGCCCAGGAATGGTATAGGTGGATATTGAGGGAGATCAATCCCATCTTCTTAAGAAATTGCCACTCTGATTTCCATAGCTATTGTAGAAGTGTGCACTCCCATCAGCAATGCATGAGTGTTCTCTTACTGCGTGTCCTCATTAGTATGAGCTATTACTGTCTTGTTGATCTTACCCATTCTGACAAGTGTAAAATAAAATCTCCAAGTAGTTTTGAATTGCATTTCCCACTTCTTATCTTGACTCTTCTCTCTCTGATAACGAGGGTATTTTTCATTATCTAAACATTTTTAATGTTGTTTCAATTTCTCCTTTTTAAGAACCCTCTATGTCCTCTAAAAATGGTCCCTGGTGTCATTTCCTCATTCTCCAATACACCTTCTACAAGTCTCATCCTTCCCATCTCACATTTAGAATTCAGTCCACTTGGGGGTATATATACTGAAATATGTGAGGAAGACCTCAAATGATTTATTTCTACAGAGTACTCAATTCTACATCATGTATAGACACTATGTATTGAGAATTCTACCTTCTCCTGTCCTATGAGAGAGATAGGTCACCCATTTTTTTACAAAATAACTGTGTAAATGCCTAGATCTTATCTCAACAAAAAAATTTAAAAGACCCAGACTTTTATATACTCAAGACTCCTCAATGGTTCTCAGAGTGGGGCCCCAGCAAAAGCATCAACAATGATATCAGGAAATAGAAACTTGCAGAGTTTCAGGGTCAGTCCTTTGATTTTGAAATTATTGCCCTTCTTACCTGATCCTTATATTTCTCATTGTCCCTCCCCAAATCCCTGAGTTTCAGTTTAGAATTATTTTTTGTTTTATTTTTCATGTGAAAAACACCTTTTAATAAATTCTCCAGTACAGCTCTAAGGATCATAAACTACTTGTGTTTCTAAATCATCGTTGGACATTTTACATTAACAGTACTGTGCTAATTGTTGATAATTACCTAATTCTAGATTAATAACAATGTTTTTTTTAAAGAGAAAGAGATAAACATTTATTTAGCTTTGACTTGGATGTAGTCATTTTTTTCTTTTTTTTAATTTTTTATTGGATATTTTATTTATCTACATTTCAGATGCCATCCCCTTTCCCCATTCCCCCTTCCTAGAACCCCCACTCCACCCCCTCCCCCATTATGCTTTTATATCATTTTAATTACATGCATACAATAAAGTCTGTTCTAGGTTGAGGGTCTAGCAATATAATCGATGCAAATAGTCAAGGAACAAGCAAGACAATAAACACAAATAGTCAAAGAACAAGCAAGGCATTAAACCCAATTACGTGAACACTCCTATGATCACTGTTTCTAAGGCTTTATCAGGATGACCAAAGTATCTGAACCAAGTTCCCTGTCCTAGCCCAAGGTCATTTTCATATCTGAAGCCTAGTTCCTTGTTCTAGTCTAAAATTTAGATTCCTGTCTGAAATTACTTCTTTGTTCCAGCCTAATATGTAGGTTCCTACCTGAAATTACTTCTTTATTCTAGCCTAATATCAGATTCATGTCTGAAGCCTACTTCCTGATAACAACGTTTTTAAATACTTTAATTTTTTCATATTTTTCCTGACTTCTCTTGATTCTATTATAAAATACCAGTATCTTCACCATTGTTTTGAAAGCAATTTTATTTTTCTCTGATTATATTTTGTCTAGTTATTTTTAAATTTCATTCATGTTTATCCTACTTGTTGTTGCTATTCTTTTAACCTTGCACTAATCTACATTTTTTTAAATTCTGCATGGAATGTTGGAAGCTCTGTCTCCATTCAGAGTT